GTAAGCAGAAAAATTATAGGTCCAGTGAACAGAAGTCTGTTTTGAATCACCAAAATCTAGAGTCATGCCCCTCAATTGATTCCCAGACTTGAGCCAGTTAACAATCCCAGAACCTCTTGAATGAAGGAAAGGCCATGTTCCATGAAGAAACCCCCTGTTACATTGCCAAAAGTGGATATTGTCAATCTTTCTTTCTGTCTTCACCAAGAGGATCTGCAGCCATTACCACAGTACAGTGTGACTGCATTGGAGAAAGGAAAATAAACAAATTTTGGAGGATTATTGTACCCTACCTATGAACTGACACTAATTCCATGAGACCCATTAGTTCAGGTCACTAATTCAGGAGACACACATCCCCAATTAAGTGGCTTGTTTGCCTGTGTGGAAGACAGAGGCAGATATTGGAGAGTGACTGTGGATTACCATAAACATAATCGGGTGGAGATTCCAATTGCAGTGGCTGTTTCAGATGGTTTTATTGCTTGAGAAAACCAATACAGAGGGTTGCTGGTTTGTTGTTGTTTTTATCAGTCTTAGAAATTGATCCATGTCTATTTCTTCAAATCATAGCTCCCAAGCTTTTGAGCTCCCTAGCCCAGAACATCATTTAGCCTGTCTCAATTTCCCCAGCTGGAAAGTGGAATGATAACAGTACCTGCTTTGTTGGGTTGTTGTGATGATTAAATAAATGTAGTAAATGTTACAAAAGTGTTAGCTCTGGCGGTTTGTAACACCATTTTCATCCATGCAAGGAAACGGTTGAGAGTGAGCAGCAGTTGAGGAATGGAGGCAAAATAATGGCAACATTTTCAGAGGTTTGTCATCGTGACCATAGTTGGAAGTCCTTAGTGCTTGCCCTGCTGGAATTAGAGACTGTCCCAGTACTTCCGCAGATTCTGTTGTTGCTAAAGAGGAGCTTCCCAGCTTCCCGCCTTTGATTCAATGCCTTCTGCCATTTCTTTGACCCCTTCTTCCCTCTAAGGCTCCAGACCACAGGAGTTAGGTCCAAAGGTACAAGTCCTGGGAGAAGAGTTGTGACTTAGCAAGGCTTCCCCTGCTTGACCCCCCCAAAAGAGAAACTCTCTCCCCTTTCTCCACCCCTCCTTTAGTCATCCCTAGGAGAGAATAGCCCAAAGAAGTCTCCAGACCTTTCAGACAAGAGCATGTCACTCTTCGTTGAAAACAGTTCCCAGCCCCCAGCTGTGGATGCCTTTGTCTCCCAGCTTCCCTGCCTATTAAACACATGACAGCACATTGACTAATTGCTGGGAAATAAGCCCCTGAAGAATCTATTTCAAAAGAACCTGCAGCGAGATTGTCAAAAGAAAAGAGCTGGCCAGGAGTGGGATGGGCGACCAGGGCTGGGGGCTGGGAATACAGCCCCACTGGCAGGGAGTCTTCTGGCTGCTGAGGAACAAAGCTCAGGGCCTACTGTCAACGATGCTGGGAATTCAGAGCTGAGGTTTGGGAGGTCATGGCCCTGGCTCCCTGCCCTCTGAGCAGAAGCCATAGTAGGTACACGTCTGTCACTTCCTCTCCTGTTCACAATTCCATTCCTCTTAGAGACACCTTGTGACAGAATGCCACAGTCTTCCTTCTGGAGGCTGAGTACAGAGTCATCTCTAGATGGGGACATGGAATAGAAGAATAGAAGTGTCCGGAATCACCTCTTGTGGTGCTCTCCAGCCCCCAGCAGTGCCCTCTCCCAAACTCGACACCTCTTGTTCATATTTACAGACTAACCAAACCCAATCCATCCCGCACCATGTTTCCTAAACACTCACTGATCACTATTAATCAGCAAGCTGGCAGTGCTGCTGCCCCTGTGAGCATCTTGTTAATGATGGGAGAAGACTGCCAAACGGCCAGCTCGGCTCCGGATGGTGAGGTATGGGTCTTGTCCAGACTGAGGAGGCAAAGGCTTCACTGCGAGCTGTCTGGCACAGAACGGAGATCCCTGGTGCTTGATAATGAGAAACAAGCAGGCCCTTGTTAGGAGTCCATCCACATGCCACCCCCCCTACCTTTTTTTAATACCAGATGATCTTGGAGACCAAATAGGGTGGAGGGAAATCTCAAGGGTGAAGGCAGCTTAAGTAGCCACCCTGACACTGAAGACCTCTGCATTTCCCCAGAAGCCAGATCTAGAAATGACCTGCAGCAGCAGCAGGAGGGATTTAAGCTAATAGTATCAGCTGAGCTAAGCATCAGGAGTACTTCCAGATGCAAAGTGTTGCTAAAACTATTCCAGGACAGGTTACTAAGGAAAGAAATGTTATGTGTGACATGAGGATCATTTCCTCCATGCTTATTAGCTCAGTCCGAACCATGCTTATACATGTCCATGTGCAAGTTTTGTTTTTCTATCAATACATGAAATCTAGGGAAGCTGGTATAGTATTTAACTGATGATCCTTGGTGTCTTTTCCCACTGAAGATCACACTCTCTGGTATGACCAGCCATGTGCTAACCAGGCATCACCTGAGTGATGATCAGATTAGCAGCCATGTCAACAAACTGTTGCAAATGATACAGTGTGTCAAGCTCTGGATTAGTGGCATGGTAAGTAATTCCTGAAGGCATTACAGAGATTAATCACAGCACAGGAGAGCACATCCTAGGAGCCAAAGATAGCCCAGCAAGAACACAGTCATTCAGAGGGAGGTGTCCCAGAAGTCAGTCATAGGAGGCTCCACTGGGGGAGTGGATCCTGAAGACGGGAAAGGACAGACACGAAGTGCATGTCATGATTAACTGGTCTCTAGTGGGCGCAGAGGTTTGGTCCCAGGCAAACCCAACGGGAGGCATTTTGGGGAACTAGCATCTCTTCCTAGGAATCTGCCTTGAAACAGGTGCCCATAGGCACACATCTGTTAGAATTTGTCACATGAATTAGGGACAAGATGAACTCTTGAAGATGCCCCTTTTCTGCCTCTCAGAACCTCTCACAAGCCTATGACAGGGCTCAATGCACCACCTCACTCCGACCCCCTCTACCATGAGGACCAGGATCAGGGAAGGTACACAGTTCACTTATCTGCCCAAAGATGACATCTGAGCCACCAAGAGTGGCTCAGCTGCCCAGGCCTTCCTGGGCCAGGACCCCCAGAACACACACAGGGCTCAGTCTTCCTCCCCTGCAGCCCCCAGGCCTAACACTTTTATGTGGACAGCAGTTCCCAGGAAGCCAAACTCTGAGTCTCCCTGGGGTGAATGGGCCAAGTCCCTGAGTCTAGAATTAATTGAGGGACCTTTGTTCACTCTCTATCTCCACACGGAATTGTAAAGGAACCAGCGGGAAAAAAGTCAAAGTTTCCAGAAAGAACAAAGGACCTGTTTTAAAGTCTCTATGGCATAGAAGTTCAGAATGAAGCCCCAAGGCCCCAAGTGTGAAGGTTTCATTTCTAGCTCTGCCATTTATTAGCTTGTGACCTTGTACGCAAAGGAAGCGAGGAATGTAAGTTGATCTGGATTCTTAAGGTCTTACATCCTCATGTAAAAACTGGGGACAAATAATCTTGTATTCCTCAAGTTCCTTATAATGAACTGTTTTACTTCCATAAGTAGGTGGCTGGGTGGCATACAGGACAATGTGCCTTTTTTGAAAAGGAAGTTAAGGGGCGCCTGGGTGGCTTAGTCGGTTAAGTGTCCGACTTTCGCTTTGGTCATGATCTCGCGGTTCATGGGTTCGAGCCCCGCGTCGGGCTCTGTGCTAACTGCCAGCTCAGAGCCTGGAGCCTATTTTGGAGTCTGTATCTCCCTCTCTCTCTGACCCTCCCCTGCTCACGCTGTCTCTCTCTCTCTCCTAGAAATTAAAAAAAAAAAAAAGGAAGTTAAGACATAAACAAAAAGGGCAAATGCTAAATAATAAAGATTTGGCTTGTTTAAAAACAAATAATTACAAATAAATTGGGGACAAATAATAATACCAACTTCACAGGGGTTGTTAACCTGAGGAATAAATGAGCCAATAAGGTAAAATCTCGGAACAACACCCCCCCTCAAAAAAAAGGAAAAAGTGCTGGCTATTGTTTTTAAACACTCGTCTGGCAAGGATATTTTGATATAGAGAGGGTTTATAGAAGCAGCTGATTGAAACAGAAACTTTGAGACTTATTTTGAAAATGAATTTACAAAGTTAGCAAGGCTTTTTTCCTTGTAAAATATTTCTTCATACTGTAAGGGGATAATAGAAATATTTTCTTCATAGGGATTTTAGGAGGATTAAATGAATTGATACATATAATGTGCTTAGAACAATGCCTGGCACTGAGTAAACACCCAGTTAATGAATAAGCACCCTCCAACCTGAGTGGCTTGGGAAAATGTTGCAGGTGACGGGGGTGGGGTCCCGACTCCAGCCAGGAAGCTTCTGATTGGAAGCTGTGCTCTGTTCTACAACTAACATAAATCTTCCCTGCTATGGTGCAAGGCAAGCATTTAGACACAAGAATTTCCCGAGGATCAATCAGGGTGACAGACCTGGGCCAGGTCTCCAAAGAAGCTTGCTGCATTTCTCCTCCTGGGAGTGCTCATTGGTCTAGGACCTAACAGTTCACGTTCATGCCTGCCTAAAGACTGACATCATGGCCTCCGAAGGGTCTTTTCAGCCTCAGGACTTGAGCTGCAGAGCATCTGAGCTCCTAGAGCCAGGACCTATAGCAAGGACATCCCATCCACCTCGATCACCTGGGCTTAGGGTCAAGAAGAGACACAGGTGTGGGAGCACCATAAAACAAAGAAGCCCTAAGCGCCCCTTGCTCTCTGGCCGAGAAACACATAGACACACACTTTCAGCTACTCACCTGCTCTGGGCCTGACCCTGACCCTCTCCCAGAGAGGTTCACAGGAAGGAGGGAGGGCCAGGAGCCTCGAGCCACTAGGAAAACCCACTTTAGGACAGTAGACAGATGAACACATTAGGCTGCCTCAGAGAACAGTGAAGAAACAGCAGGGCTGAGCTGCCCCATTCTGCCACCAGCTCCACACAGTTTACCTCGTGGATCCCAAAGTGGGCGTAGGAGTCGAAGTAATAATCTCTCGAGGTCATCTCCTCTGGGTTCAGCAGCTTGGACATCTTGCCCCGTCCTGGGCAGCTGGGTTGTGTGGACACATGATGGACACACTGCACAGGCTTGGGTGGGGCGACAGGCTGAGGGGGTTGCGGGGGAGCACTGTTCACCTGAGGGAAGAGAAGGGGTCTGGTGTCAGCAGTGGAGACCAGGTCTTGCCCTCTGAGATGTAGCCCCTCCCCCACCCACCCCCCAACCCCCCCGGGGCCCAGGGACTCGAGTCTGCAACAGCAGCCACGCCTAAGAGGTGGACGGACCTTTCTGGAAGGCCCACTGAAGGCTGTGGTTTATGGAGAGGCACCATGCTACTGAGGAGCCAGAAAGACGTCCATTTAACCCAATTCCATCTCTTACTAGTCAGGCGACCTAAGCCAGCCCAGGCCTCAGTTTCCATATCTGCTAAATGAGGACGACAATACTTCCCTTTATAGGTGAATAGCGAACACTCACTAAAGGGCGAGATGTATAGCGTCACATAGCGTGGTGGCTGCAGTGTAGATTCCAGAGCCAGTCTGCTGAAACTTGAACACAGCTCTGCCACTTCCGAGCTATGCAAACTTAGACAAAATTATTAGCCTCTCAGTCTCTTGGGTTCCCCATCTCTCAAAGGGGAAAAAAATGATCCCCATCTCCTAGAATAATCCTGAGGATGTTGGTGTTTGTGAAGTGCTTATAAGAACGCTTAGCACATAATAAGTGTTTGTTAAACTGAGTCCCACCTGCACACTTAGAAGATGAGTCTCTGGGCTTCTCCCCTAGCAGGCAGCACTTGCTCTGCTCCCCAGATGCAGGTCTCTTAGGTTCTGGGGTCTCACACCTCTTGCCTTCCCTCCTGGATTCTGTAAACTTTATTCCAAACTTTGGCAGAATTTGCTCTGAGCTTGAATTCCCATGCTGATGGTGGCCCCCTGCCTGCACATAACCAATCACTGCTCTTTCTGTGTTCCCAGCCCCACCATGCAGCCTGGCTCTATACCCTACTGCTGCTGCCAATCACCAGCCAACCCCTCCTCCTCCATAGGCTAAGGGGAGAAGGAGAAGTTCAGGGAGCTTTGGGGCCCAAAATTTCAGCTTGACTGTAGAAGGGTATTCATCCCAGGAGAAGAAACTTCTCTCCCTGGAGTGTAGGAATCCAGGTGTGTACAGCACAGAAAAAGCAGGGCAGAAGTTTAAAAAATAGTGAGGTGCATGGGTGGCTCAGTCAGTTGAATGTCCGACCCTTGATTTTGGCTCAGGCCATGATCTCACAGTGTCTTGGGTTCAAGTCTTGGGATTCTGTGTCTCCCTCTCTCTCTGCCCCTCTGCCCCCCTCCTCTGTCTGTCTCAAAAATTAAATAAGTTAACTTGATTAAAAAATAAATGAAAATAAAAAATAGAGAAACAGTAGTATCCAGTAGTTGGTCTTCTGGGACTCCTGGATCCCAATCTTGCCTCTAGTAAAATTAAAAATAGATATTGAGGGGCGCCTGGGTGGCTTAGTCGGTTAAGCGTCCGACTTTCGCTTAAGTCATGATCTCGTGGTTCGTGGATTCGAGCCCACATCGGGCTCTGTGCTGACTGCCAGCTCAGAGCCTGGACCCTATTTCAGAGTCTGTATCTCCCTCTCTCTCTGACCCTCCCCTGCTCACGCTGTCTCTCTCTCTCTCTCTCTCTCTCTCTCTCTCTCTCCTAGAAATNCTCTCTCTCTCTCTCTCTCTCTCTCTCTCCTAGAAATAAATAAAAATATTTAAAAAATAAATAAATAAAAATAGATATTGAGAGGCAGGTGTCATGGTAAATCCTAAGGCCACACTGCCTGGCTTTGAAACACAACCCTGCTGCTTGGTGGCTGATAGTGACCTTTAGAAGTCATTTGTCATCACTGAGCCTCAGTCTCCTTATCCTTACCCATAAAATAGAGATCATGACAAAACCCATCTGAGAGAGTGGTCAAGAACTTTGGATGAGTTCATGTATGTGAAGCATTTAGAACACTGCCTGGCCAATAGTAAGCTCTATTATTATTATCATTATTCAGACTAAATAAATAAATATGTCCCTGCTTTGTGCCTCAGTTTTCTCATTTGTGAGCTGAATCAGCTCAGGCTTACTAATCTCCTTCCCAACAAGGGAAATAGGGAGGCCCTAGGACAGAGCAAGATCAAAAAACCCAAGTGACTCCATCTCTTCATCATGCTGTTCATAGAGCCCCACAACTGCCCCGTGTCCTGGGCTGTAAGGGAGTGAGCTCAGGGGAGTGTGATGGTCCCATTTTCCTGGTGTATCTAGGCTACAGCCTCTGGGAAATAAGCAGACTTCCCAGTTTAGCAACATCAGATTTGAGGTCGGCGAGATCCCGGCTGGCTGGAAGAGGCAATCGGGGCTGCTTCATTAGAATGCAGCAGGTGTGCCCACCCTCAGCTTGGGATGTTGGTCACGGTCTCTGAGAGGCTAAAAATAGACTGTGTCAATTGCATACTCCCGTGCAGGCTGCAGAGTCACCTCTAAAGCTAAAGAAGGCTCTGTGCATGAAGCTGACCCCAATCTTGACTCTATTTAAATATGTTGAAGAGAGAAAAAGTCCTAGCTGGTCCAGGCAGCACGCATGGTCAGGGTCACAGGAGCCTCCTGCACCCCTTCGCTGCCATTCAGCTCTGATTCAAAGTTTCCCTTTCCATGAGGTCTTCAAGATTTCATTTCTCAGCTGCCAATTTACAAAGGGTCAACCATGCGCCATGCATTGCATCCAAAAGACAAAGGATGAGTGGATCTGGTGGGCTTTCACCTCAATGACTACAGATCATGAGGCCAAAGAGGTGACTGTGGCCCAGATTTTGGTCCCAGAGGTTGTCAGCCTAGCTCAGCCTCTTGCAAAGGAGACTCACACTCTGCCCATTAGCTGAGTGGTGTGCCCTGTCCCAGGAGGCTAGGAGTGAGGTAGGAAACAGCAGTGGCCCATGATCCCTAGGCCTTCAGCTAGCTGGGGATGTTGCTTTTCATCCCACAAATACTGACTGAGCATGACTGCAGTCTGTTACTCCTGTGGAGGAACAGACATATAGGAAGAGTGCCCTCAAAGGACTCTGCTTTCTGGTAGAAATATAAGACCTTTGAGGGCTCCACTAGATGATGGAGTAGGATTTTCTTTACAAGAAAAGCTTGAGCAAATTGTTGTGGAGGGCTCAAAGAGAGAGAAGTCTTCAATTCAAAGAATCACAAGAGCTTGGGATATCTGGCAGTGGGGTAGGTGGGGAGATTTCTGAATGCATTTTTTGGTAGGAGGAGATGGTGGGAGGGAATTCTGAGAGAAGGGGATGGCTGGAACAAAAAGGTAAAGGGGCGGGAAAACAGCATGCTTGTTTGAGGAGCAACTTGGCCAAAATAGTGGGAGATTCCACTGAAAGGAAATTAAGGCCAGACTAAGAGGTTGTAATTAACTACAAGACAATGGGGAGCTGTTGGTGGTTTGTAACCAGAGAGTTCTATGTTTGAGCTCTACTTTAGGAAGATTAATGTGGTGGCCGTATACAGGAGGGGCAAGGTGGAGAAATGACAAATCAAGTCCCCAGACTGGGGACTGGGAAGCATATGAACTTATGAGGCCATTTTCAAAGTCGGGTCAAGAAATAATGATAACCTGAGCCACTGTTGTATTAGAGGGCCTGCCTGCCAGAGAAATTGCAGAAATAGGATCTCTAGGAGTCAGCAGCTGACAAGATATGGGGGGAAAGAGAAGCGTTTGAACCCAAGATGGCTTCTACATTTCAAGCCTGGATGACTAGCAAAATGGTGGTGACATTAACAGGAATGAGCAAGTCAAAGGAAGAGTAAGTGGGAAGTGGGGGCATAATGTACTTCCACTTGGATTTGTGAAATTTGAAATATCATTGAGTCATATAAGAAAAAATGTCAAACAAGTAGAGAGTAGTATAGTTCCAGTTAATAAATATCATAAATAAAATGGAAAGTCAAGTGATAAGCTAAGTAGTACATTTTTAATATATATGTACAAAAGCGAATATCCTTTATATGCAGAGAACTCTTATAAACCAATAAGAGAAAGGAAAACATCCCCCATTTAGCATTCGACAAAAGATCTTCCAGTCAATTCACATGAAACTAAACACAAAGGGTGCCTGGGTGGCTTAGTCAGTTGGGTGTCCAGCTCCTGATTTCAGCTCAGGTCATGATCCCAGGGTTGTGGAATCAAGCCCCACATCAGGCTCTATGCTGAGTTTGGAGCTTGCTTGATATTCTCTGTCTCTCTCTGTCTCTGTCTCTGTCTCTCTCTCTCTCTCTCTCCCTTTCTCTCTCAAATAAAATTAAAAAAAAAAAAAAGAAGGGATACATGAGTGGCTCAGTTGGTTAAGCATCTAACTCTTGACTTTGGCGTAGGTCATGATCTCATGTTTGTGAGTTCAAGCCCTGCATCGGACTCTGTGCTGATGGCACAGAGCCACTTGAGATTCTGTCTCCCTCTCTCTGCCTCAATCTCTCTGGAAACCAGGTATCTTCAAATTAAAACAAAAAGTTATAATTTTTAATTACCAAATAATCTTGACTCCTTCAGAAACCATTAAAACACTGCATTTGTTTTTCTTTAAAATTTTTTAATGTTTATTTATTTTTGAGAGAGAGACAGACAGAGAATGAGCATGGGAGGGGCAGAGAGAGAGGGAGACATGGAATTTGAAGCAGGCTCCAGGCTCTGAGCTGTCAGCACAGAGCCTGATGTGGGACTCAAACCCACGAGCCATGAGTTCATGACCTGAGCTGAAGTCAGAGGCTTAATTAACTGAGCCACCCAGGTGCCCCAAAACACTGCATTTGTAAGAGCTGCAGAAAAATAGGTACTTTCATACAGTTCTAGAGAGGATATTTTTTGAAGGCAGTTTGATAAAAATGCATTAAAAGTCTTTAAAGGCACAAATCTTTAAACCCAGTAATTACTTTTTTTGGAATTCATCCTAAGGAAAGAATCAGAATCATGGCAGACAACACAAAAATAGGAGTCAACCTAGAGGTTCCACAAAACAAAACTGCTTACGTAAACTGTGGGTACATCCACACAACAGAATGCAATACAGCTGCTTATAATGTTGTGGAAGAGTAGTTAATAAGAGAAATGTGA